TACTTACCCAATCTGTTCCAACCCTGCTAATAACTTTGAAATCCCTAAACACACCAAGCATCCTAACCAAGGCACCTGTTGGTGCTAGCCCCTCCGCACAGCTGTTCCTCAGAGATTCGTGTTGGACACTCCTACTTTTTCCAAGCTTCTGGCAAAAGGTCATTAGAAAGCTCTTCTCAAAAGAGGCACCCTTGTCCTCAGCACTGACCATCCTCCCCCATCTTCTCTGTGCACTTGTGATGTCCAGCCTGCGATAAGCTCCAAGGGAGCAGACTCATCTTTGTCCTCTGCATGTGATTCCAGTGCATTTAATGATGCACAGTGTGGGTTAGGTGCCCTCAAGTCTGTTCCGACTCATAGCGACCTTCCCTTCTAATAGAATGAAGCACTGGCCGTTCCTGGGCAAGGTCAAAAGCACTCTTACATGTAAGCCCTTCTCTGCAGCCTCTGTATCAATCCATCGTGTGGCGAGTCTTCTTTTTCACCGTCTTTCTATTTTACCAACCATTGTGTCCTTCTCAAAGGCCCAGTCCCTCCTGAGACTATGGCCAAAGTCCATACGGCGGAGTCTGGAAATCCTTATCCTTACGACAAAGCACTATGCTGGCTGCATTTCTGTTGGCACAGTAGTGAAACATGGACTACTAACAGCAAGGTCAGCAGTTTGAAACTACCAGCTGCTCCTCTCTAGAAAGATGAGGTATTCTACTCTCTCAAAAACATAAAGTCTCAGAGGGGACAGTTCTGCCCTGTCCTACGGGGTCCCTATGAGTCAACCTTGACTCAGTGGTTGTTGTTCAAGGATGCATACCACCACTAGCGAGTCGATGCAGCCTTATACCATACAGGAGAGGGTGGAACTGCCCCCTGAGAGTTCCTGAAACGGCAACTCTTTTGGGCGTAGAAAGCCCAGTCTTTCTCCTTTGAGCCGCTGCTAGTTTCAAGTTGCCAACCCTTGGGTTAGCAGTCCAACGTGTAGTAGCACGACACCAGTAAAACATGTACATGTAGTTCCAGTTTCATGAGGTAATTCTTTCTCTAATGTCATGAAAACATGTGGAGAGACGATCAGCATTTGGGTTTAAATGCTTTTTACATAGTAGATGTTTTCAAGATGTATTGTCTATAGTTTATCTCTATCTCATCTTTAAACTCATAGATGTTTACGAACACACTGGATGGTTTGTCAGACACAGTCCTCATACGTTATTGACCCCTGAGTATACAAAGTAAGGAAGATGATGTCAAGTAAAAATGTATCCT